TAAAAATCATTAAATCTTGGTCCAAAAAATATGTTTTTATATATTCTATAAGACGGTTATAATAATTTAATATTTACACATAAGTTAATAAACAAGAATGTTGACAAAATTATATTTTCCACAATTTTTGATTTTTCAAATACCAATAATTTTATAATTTTTGACCGAATCAGGTTCAAAAATAGGTCAATCGAAGCCTTTTTTAATGCTCTACAAGTTGGTAATGAAACTTTTAAAGTTTCTTTTATATTTTTCAACAAAATTTTCAAAAAAGTAATATTTTCGAAAAATTTAGATTTTTAAAACTTTAATATCTCTGGCTAATATAAACGAAAAATGTTCAATGAAGGCTCAAAAGATGCGTCTGAAAAAAATCTACAAAACTGAAGAAAAACATTTGTAGGTGCCCTAACATTTTTTTAAAGTTATGGCCAAAAAACGTTTTTTTACAAAATAAAAAATGCAAAAAAAATATAGTTAAACTTTATGAATCGGGCTTAAAATACTCTCATTTTATGTCCCCTGGGGAGACCTACAATTTAAAAAGAATTGAAGCCTTTAGCTCTTTCTCGTTCTGAGATATTGAGGCAAATGTAATGTTAGTACACACACACACACATCGGGACAAATTTTTAAAATCCGTTTTTTGGACTTCGGAGGTCAAAATATGTCGAAATGTTTTTTTATTTATTTAGAACATTTATACGGGCAGTGCCCATTCGTACATAAAGTACTAAAAGATTAGGTATAATGAAAAAAAATTTATAAATATGTCAAAAAATCACAATCGAAAATTTTGCTAATACAATCCTTCCTCTATGAGGAAGCAAAATTAATTTTTAATGCTGAGTTTAGTGTTACGTCTCAGAAAGAGACCAGTACTGGTATGTAAAGTTTTGCCTGATTTATTTACAAAGCGGAAAGCTTTGAACTAAGGGAACAGGCTAAGAAAACAAACGCTTAGGTTAAAGATAATTTGTCCTTTTTATTTTATCACACAATACACAGGTTCTCGAAGAAATTGGCAGGTGAGTAGTTTTCCCAAAACTCGGTATAACTCCACTGAAAGCAGAATTATACCTTAGTATACTAAATTCAAGAATCTTTAAAATAAGAGAATAATTTGGTTTACTTACCAATATTAAATTCCTTGAATAATTTAAACTCTTGAAAGAAGTAGATAGTTGATCAGCAATTGGTTGGCAATTAGTAGGCTCTTGGTTGGCAATTGATTTGGTACTTGGTTGGCAATCGATTGGTACTTCTTTGGCAATAGATTGGTATCTGGTTGACAATTGATTGGTACTTCTTTGGCACAAGATTGGCGAACGGTTGGCACACAATTATTTGATTGTTTGTTAAGAGTTTTAGTTTAATGGATACTTGACAGTATTTTACAAGGATTTAAAATATAGTGGAGAACGAAGATTAAACTGAGTACTAACTTCGGAATAATTACCAATCAGTAAGATTGAAATACTAGATGAGACCGAAGATACAAAATATATGCAGGAAAATTAACTACTACTTAAGATACAATCGAAACGCTGGAAAATTTTCTACTGATCACTCTCCAAAAATAAAGGTCTTTTATAGTCGTATTTTTACAAATTTTTTAGGTGGGAAGCCAGGCCTAGCCAGGCCGTAGGGGATCGATAACATCATATAGGTATACTTTCATTGTTTCTTAGCCGGCTCCTTATGAATCGACACCCGTGGCATGTGTGACATATCTTCTTTTATTTTAATTTTGAACAATTTCTTAATTATAATTTTTATCATATTTTATATTATTTATAACAAGTTACGGGCACGTGACACCTCCCCTCTTTAAAATTCGGAAAATAGAAAATGAAATTGATAATTTTCCGAATTCAGTTTTGGTATCATAGTAATAGTTTAAATTTTAAAGTTTTTTAAGGAGATGTCATTACACTGATTTAATCAATTTCATAACCCACACATTTAATGAAAGGTCAAACATTTGATAGATAAATTAAATGTTACAAATACTTCTAAGTTTAAAATTTTACATACATTTAAAATTTAGAAGTTGCATCTATTTAATTTTAAAATCACACATACATTTTGTTGTTATTTAAGATTTGTTAATATAAATAGGGAAGTATAGTCGAGGTTAAACCACTGTCTAGGTAGGCCATTTGCGTTTTTTTGTCAAGTTCACTAGCGCCACCTACGCGCATGCTTGTCGAAGCTTGTCTTAGTAAAACCTAACTTTTTGTTCAATTACATTTTCGGAGGATTGAAAATTGTGTTTTCTGTGACGTCGGTACAAAAAAAGCTCAAAAAAAGTTTTGTGCATAATGTGAAAAACCATTAATAAAAGATAAAAAACAAATTGAATCGTCAAGGCAAGTATGCAGAAAATTTGTGGGACTCGTGGTTGAAAGAAAAACAAAGTAAAAAATCGAATCCCGAAACGTATTTCTTTATGGTTACAACAATTCGGTAATGTTACTTACTGTCAAGGTCGGCCACTATGTGTTTAAAATGCGCAAAGATGAGGATGAGCTACTTCATTTGCAAAAACTGCAATTCTGTATAACTCATAATATAATTGATCATCTTATGAATATTTTTATTTAATTTTATTAATATTTTAGTGCAAAATTTTTTTTTATTTATATTTATTTTTTTATATTGTTTATTTTTATTATTTTGTTATTTCATTAAGTTACAAACTGTAAACAATAAAAAATCAATTTTCCGTAACTCCAAACATGTTATTTTATTTTTTAACGATGCCCTTTGAATTTTAAACATGGCCGACCTTGACTGTAAGGACTAACCTCGACTACAAATTTTTTTTTTAAATCTTTATAACTTTTTCATTTTAAAACCAATCAATTTACTTTGTACAGAAAAGATGTTCCTATTAAACAGGACTTTCTAACCATATACTTCAATTGTCCAAATTCATTTTTAAAAAAAAGTTATAAACAAAAGTCAAAAAGGTTGCCGACCTCGACTATGCTCCCCTACATTTTTAGGTTAGAAATGTTAATTTAAAATCTCTCACATACATTGATAGTTAACTTTAAAAAGTTACATACATTTTGATATTAGAGATGTCAACATTGAAAGTTATTTTGAAAATTACATACATTTTGAGGTTAGAAATTTTAGTTTCAAATGTTTAAAAGTTATATTGAAAATTACATAGACTTGAAATTAGAAATGTTAATATAAAATTGAAGTCACACATACATTCAAAGTTTAATATTACAATGTTAATAGTTGAAATTCACACTTCAATTGTCATAAAGATTTAAAGATTCTATATTAATTACATACTTTAGAAATACTCATTTTTGAATAACATTCAATTATAATAATGGTTTTAACAATGGAATTCGTAGAGTTTTCTTTTGATTACAAATAGTAAAAATTTTATTCATAAGCCATAAATTGAAAGAGAATTTGCATTTAGTTATTATTTTGAGAATTGTTTAAAAGAAAAGGATAAAAAGAAAAAAAAATTATTTGTTTATTTATATTTTTTTTACACACGTATGTGTAGTCACCCTTCCCTTCCCTCAAAGAAAGAATACGAAAAAGTATTTAAAGTATTCTTTCTATTAATAAGTTTTAACGCTTAGATAGAAAATTCATTCTTAAAGAAATAGATGTGACTACAAATCTGTAGAGAAATTTAGCTCTTTTTTTATATAAAATTACCATTTCTTTGTTTTCAAGTATCTAATAAATATGATTTGAAATCATTGATTGTATGTATATTAGAAAAAAGGTAACTCTTTTTGATATTTATTATGAAACTTATACCTTTTGCTTCCTCATAAGGAAGCTTTGCATTCGTGACAATTTTCAATTTTTAAAAGAAGGTTATATGGACTCATTTTCATCTAAAACATATGTATATTCAATTCTGAGCAAATGTCCAGATGTATGTGTGTGTGTGTATGTCACAAAAATTGTGTACAAATTATCTCAGACAAATTTTGATGAACTGTCCTGAAATTTTGCAGGTTTATTGCAGTCATTAATACCTAAAATCTGACACAAGGATTTTCAAAAATATCTACAAAATTTTTTTTATACAATTTTTTTAAAATTCAGAAAATTTTTTTTTTGTATTTTTTGAAATAATATTTTTATTTGTTAATATTTTATTAATTATTCTTAAAATTACATTCCTGACAAGAAAACGAATCGATTGATGTATACAAAGTATATATTTTATTAAAATTTATATAAAATACATTCCTGACAAGGAATGTATTTTAAAAATGTATTTTAATGGAATGTATTTTAAAATTACATTTGTTTGAGATTATAATTTATTTTAATTTAAATGAAACTCCCGCCAAATAGTTCGATAAAAAATTGTATAATGGCGGATGGCGCTGATGAGTGCGTGTGTGTGCATTTTTAAGATAGATAAAAAATGTCTCTCGACAAGTGAAAAACGTTCTCATAACGTTAAATTTAATTGTTAAACTGTAATTTTATACCAAACAATAATTATATTTTAAATACTAAAGTTGATTAAATTAAAGTGTGTTCAAAATATATCAGTTATTTAAAACTGTGATAATATCTATTTTCCCATCCTTTTTGTAACTCTAATGACGCATTTTGTGCATTGCGCGAATTCGAGTCCTGGAAATTCTCTATAAACAATTCATTCTTTAACAAATTGGCGATCCTGCCAGGATTGTGTCAGTGTATCTTAAAGGATGATTCTTAAGTAATCTTTTACGTTTTTATAATCACAACTTTCAACTTTGTACTCAACTAAATATAGTGCATTCAACATTTCGTGTCATTATAAACAAGCACATTTTCCTTTTTTTTCAAGTTGAATAGTCACATAAAAAACATTATTTAAAAATAAACTAGAATATTTCTTGGAAACGTGTGTTTTTTTAATCGTATTCTGATTATGAAATAAATCAGAATTTCTGTGAAAATATCAACGAGTAAAATTTTGGGGTTAGGTCTAACCTCGAAGCATAACCATGGCATCTTTTGATAAAGTTTTAGCAGCACAAAAGCAAGATTTTGCATCTATCAAGCGACATGTGCAATATTTAAAATCATTGAATGATGAAACTCGTACACTCAATATTATTCGAAATCGGTGTACTCTTCTTGACAATTTATTACGTATGTGTCGCGATCGAAATGGAGAACTATTTCAACTGTCTATAGTTGAAAATAAAGAAGACCATAACTATTTCATCGACGACGAATTTGGAATTATCGAAATGAAGCTGTATGCAGATCTGGATTATTTCTCCGAGATTATGAGTGAATTGCAACCGACTAAACAATTTGTCACATCTTCTCCGCTTTCGATGGACGACGTTTATCAACAACCAGGTTCGACTGTAAAACTTCCGCAAATTAATTTACCTGAATTTTCCGGTCAATTTTCACAATGGCAAGTATTTAAAGATTCTTTTAATTCTTTGATTATTGAAAATTCTTCACTTAACAATCTTGCGAAATTACATTTTCTAAAAAGTTCCTTGAGCGGTGATGCACTCGATTTAATATTTAATATTAAAACTACGTCCGATAATTTTAAAATAGCTTGGGAATTGTTGATTAACCGATACGACAATAAACGCGCAATTGTAACAGCTCATTTAAATGCAATATTTTCACTCGAACCTTTAAAAAAGGAATCTGCTGGTGGTCTTTTACAAATTTATAATACGATTCAAAAACACATTTCAGCGTTAAAAAATTTAGGACGTCCTACCGAGGACTACAGTGATATCTTAGTCAATCGCGTGATTAATTTGCTTGATCAAAAAACACAGAGAGATTGGGAACTGAGCATTTCTACATCAACTGAGTGTCCTAAATACTCAGATTTGTCAAATTTCTTGCTTCAACGAATTAGAGTTTTAGAGGCAATACCTAGTTCAAATTCAAACAATGGAACAGCTCCCAAACTCTCTGGTTCTCAAAGTAATTTAAAAGATACCAGTAAAGTCAAACGCTTAAATGTCAATGCTCATGTCGCTTCTGCTAAAGAAGATATTTGTGTTCTTTGCAAACAAAATCATTATTTATATCACTGTCCTAAATATCAAGAAAAATCGACTTCTGATAAATATAATTTTGTAAAATCTCAAAAATTATGTACGAATTGTTTACGATATAAACATAAAACTATTGATTGCAACAGTAAATTTACGTGTTTAAAATGTAAGAAACGACATCATACTTCGCTGCATCGCGAAGATTCGAATACAAATCAACAGGAGAAAAAACTCACAAGCGAAAATAATCAATCAAATTCTGGCTTGCAGGTAATAGAATCTTCATTTATTCAATCTCATTATTCGGATTATGATAATCCTATAAAATCTAAATCTGTTTTGTTGTCAACAGCTCGCGTGTGGGTTATTTCACCTAATTTGCGTACTATTCGAGTTCGTGCCTTAATTGATCCAGGATCAACATGGTCCTTTGTTTCCAAAGATTTAGCGAAGTTATTGAATTCGAAAAGTATTCCGGTGACCGCAACGCTGTCGGTCCTCGGGGGGGCTCTGGCTGGAACAGCTAATTCTGCAATCGAAATCGGAATTTCACCGACTCCAAATGGTAATCTGATGTTCAAAACTAATGCTCTTGTAATTCCCAAAGTTACAAATTATATTCCAGAAAAACGATTGCCCTTTGAAGCTTGGTCTCATTTAGACGGATTAAATCTTGCTGATGATGCATTCAACGATGACCCGATTCATTTGCTCATCGGAGCTGAATTGTACGGTGCTCTTATTCTCGATGGTATAAAAAAAGGAAATCCCAATGAATCTGTAGCTTTGAATACCGCATTTAGATGGATATTATCCGGTAATATATCCACCAAAATATCAAATAACGAATTAGATATCCAAGTTCATCATTGCCTTTCTACAAAATCACTTAAAACGTCAATAAAAAATTTTTGGGAAATCTAGGAAATTCAAAAACCTAAACTCTTGTCCCCTGATGATGAACTTTGTGACGAACATTTTCGTAAAACACATTCTCGAAACCTCGACGGTCAATATGTCGTACAACTTCCATTTACATCTGACAAACCTATCGATATAGGATCAACCAGACCTATTGCAGAGAAATCTCTCAAGCGCATTGAAAAACGATTTAAAAAGAATTCAGATCTTAAAAAGTCCTATGTCGAGTTTATGAATGAGTATGAATCATTGAATCACATGAGATTAGCTCAACCTTTAAATTCTCCAAATAATCAGGTTGTGTACACTCCGCATCATCCGGTATGCAGAAGTTCAAGTCAAACTACTAAAGTTAGAGCTGTTTTTCATGCATCCGTTTTATCATCTAATGGAACGTCCTTAAATGATCATTTAAAAATTGGTCCTAAGTTACAAACAAATCTACTGATAGTAATAATTAATTGCACAGCCCCACAAAAAAAGAAAAGTACCCTTCGCGAAAGTCCACAGTACCATACCCCTATGTATTTTGATGCGCTGAACACGAATCCAAAGTCAGATTTGCTCCATCACGTCAGGATTTTTTTCTAACCTCAAAAAACATGTCAGATTTTATGTAATTTATGTAAAATACAAAATTTTTTAAAAATTGATTAGATTTTTCTCAAACTTGTTTTTCCGGGGTTTTTAAGATCGCTGATTACGAATCTGCAGTCAGTTTTTAAAAATTCAAAATAGCGGATCCAATATGGCGGACAAATTAAAAAATTTTGTTGGATTTTCACATTACTTGGTATATGTATAGGGGTTTTCGGGGTCGCTGATTACAAATTTGCACTCAGATTTTAAAAATTCAATATGGCGGTCATTTTTTCGAAAATTCATTTCTTTTGCTTTAAAATGGGTACTCACTGGTTTTTCGGATCGCTGATCACAAATTTCAAATCAGACTTTAAAAATTTCTAACAACTGGTCCAATATGACTTGATATGCAAGCATTTTGGGAGTCGGTTAATTTAAAAGTTTCGAAAAGTTTGTTGGTAAACATTTATGCAGCAGGAAATTGCAGATTTTTGGTAACCTGAATGCCTAAATTAAAATGTATTTATCGAGACGACATGTATTGTATTTCCGTTGTGCTTTGGCACAATATAGACCTTTTCATTTAAGACCGGAAGTTGAAGCTACGCCATGACAGACGGCGCGATTTCAAAATTTTCGAGCAACTTTGTGTCAGAATGTATATTGTGCTAATAACAATTCAAATAAAAAACTCAATGAAAATGATATTCCAGAAGCAAAATTAATGTATGAACAGGTAGAGAAAAATACTGTAGCTGTCAATTAAAAATATGGTTATAAAGCCGAAGTCAGTGTTTAAAGGATAAAAAAATCTATATTGTTTACATGTAAATAAGGTTATGTTATGTTATGAATATAACCTTACCCAAAGGTCTCATTTTCGATATACTTGACAAGTTTTGCAATTACTTCGAATATTTTCATTCCTAATATTTTATTTTCTAAATGTTAAACGGTTTTGGGAAAGAAATAAAGTAATAATTTTCAGTCAAATAAGACTTGCAACGAGCATCACTTTTGCAATTCCCAAAACAATATTTTTTTGTGCATCAATTTTTTTCCTTTGTGAATTATTATTCTCAGGGATACTGCTCATTTTTAATACACGCTAATTTTTTTTCTACATTCATTAGTAATATTTTTTAATTACTTTTCACTATTAGCACTGTGCATTTTGTATAAAAAGTGCTTGAAACTTTGTCGGAAGTTATATATATACTCCGCGCTTGCGCAGTACAGATTCCTTAAATGAAAAGGTCTATTAATCCTGCTGCTTCGATAGATGTAGTAGGCGATGACAACTGCCCCAAAATGGGATGTGTAGAATGATTTGCTTCCTGTCTATCGAAGTTACGAAGCCAGCGAAGGCGCGCTGCCTTGCAGGGGGACGTTAGGGTGTGAGGATGATACCGTAGTGTGTCCGACGACGAGTTGATAATGTCCTCGTCAAAGTCGGAAAGCTCTCACACTTAGGCCTAGGGAGGTATGAGGGTTATCACCCCTAGGACGGTGGACTCGCCTGCGATCGGACCAGGATCCCTAGCGTGCGGGCATTTTCCTAAATATCATGGCTTTCAAAAATCAAAACAATAAAAAAACTTCAAACGCTTCAAAAGTTCTTTTTGGAGTGTCAACCTCACAACATACATGTGACAGCAATGCAGATGTATTTTGTTAAATATGCGGACAATTTTGAGATACCGTCAAATAGGCTAACTCCGGACAGGAGGCTAACTTCGGACATTCGTATATTTCTGTAAATATTTTGTATTTACATTCTACCTAAAAATTTTTATAAGGATTTCTAATTTCTATTGCTTTACCAAATATTCAAGGAACATTATATGACAGTTGAGAAATAAAAATAATCAAAAAAATTTAAGAAAAAAATTAATTTAGTCAGAAGAGATTTTAGGAAGTTATTGAACTTTATGAAAAAACTTATTTTTATAAGCGAACATATGTAAGGTAAAAGCTATTTCTTTTTTAAAATTTAATCTACTATATCTTGACATAAAATTAACACTAATTTCAATAACCAAAATTCGAAAATTATTTCGTAAATTATTTTTAATTAAGAAAATGTAATGGTCAGATACACGTCTTCTGGCGTTGATTACAGTAAATAAAGTCAAACTTTACTTTTATTAAATGTTTAAAAGCTTTAAATATATATTGTTTATATTCTCAAATTGTATTACATTCTTATGTCCAAAAAATTATATTAAAAATCGCTAAATTTTAAAAAAGTTCATTCTCCAAATGCACCATTAATTGAATTTAATTAGTTTTTGTTTTTTTTTAAATTATAATGAATAGTCTGAGAACCTTAGAATAGTTTCTTGTTAAAACAAAAATACGTAAATAATATAATTATCCAAAATAATTTTAAATTACACAAAAAATTATACGGTGTCCGAAGTTACCCCACTTTGAAGGCTAACTCCGGACACTTGTTTTTTACTTCACAGAAAATAACAGAGGTAAATAAAAAAATGTTAACTAGAAATATCAACACACAAGACCCTAAGGATGATATATTCTGAACGTCAAACTTCCAGATATTATATTATAAAAAATATTAATAAAAAACATCGAAAACCGTCCGAAGTTACCCTATTTGACGGTAGTCAATCAGAATGAAAAATGAGTTCCAAATACAATCTGCAGTTCCTGCTACACAATGTTAACTCATTGGAATGATACGAAAGAGGATAAACACCTGAAGTTTAAAAAACCAACATTGTGGAAAAAACCATTGAATCCAGAAGATTGCTACTTTTGCATGACCAATGTAAAAGGCTATAGCCTTAAAAAAAATAAAAACATAAAAAATAAAAGAATATAATTTACGCATGTGTAGTATCTGTGAAAAAACCCGAAATTTTAAGTCATTTAACTCTTTCTTCTGCAAATATGGAAATCGAAAATTCACCATTAGAGTATGTACTTTCCGATATAAGTGATGCGATTAGTAATATTGTAGAAGACAATGATGATATTTATATTCCAGATGGTTATCAGGAAGAAAAGGTTAAAGAAGGCTTTACGCAAGAAGAGCTTAGCAACCTCATCAGAGATTTTAAATTACCCAAAAATGGAGCAGAATATCAGCTAGATAGAAAAATGCAAAAATAGAATATGCAGCTAGATATCTAGCTTCAGTTTTAAAAAAGAAAAATTTGTTATCTAAAGGCACCACAGCTTACTTTTATCGTGACAGAGAAAAGGAATTTCGGAAATATTTTACAAAAGACGATGAGCTTTCATTAGTATATTGTTCTGACATTGAAGGACTAATAAATGAATTGAAACCAAACATATATGAAGATCAACATAAGACTAGAGGTTATTCATTGACTCTTCTAAAAGAAGTCTACAGGCAGTGCTAATTCATAACACTAATGTTTTTGCTTCAATTCCCGTAGCCCATTCCACTGAACTTAAAGAAGATTATGAAAATGTCAAATTAGTTTTGGAGAAAATTAAATATAAAGAACACAATTGGCAAATTTGTGGAGATTTTAAAATTATAAGTATCATGTTGGGCCAACAAGCAGGTTTTACGAAAACACCTTGCTTTTTATGTTTGTGGGACAGTAGAGATAAAAAAAACATTATGTACAAAAAGAATGGACTAAAAGAACATCCTTTACACCAGGTTCCAAAAATATTATAAAAAAAACCTTTAGTTGATCCTACAAAGGTAATTCCACCACCTTTACATATTAAACTAGGGGTAATGAAACAGTTTGTAAAGTCTTTAGATAAAGAAGGGAAATGTTTCAAGTACCTGGAACAAAAATTTCCAGAGATATCTGATGCTAAATTAAAGGAAGGAATTTTTGTTGGGCCTCCCGCGTGGAAATGAAAGTACGGGCAAAGTCCATCAAAGTACAGAATAATATGGGCAAAGTACAGTAAAGTACGGCTAATGAGCGTTTCCCATACTTTGAGATGTACATGGTTAACAACAATATTTAAAGTACGGGGACAGTTCGGCAAAGTACGGGATCAAGAAAATAGGATTTTCGGGAATATTTTCGAATAGAGAACTACACCAAAGTATTAGAGGCCAGTTTTTTGGGAAATATTAAATCAGAAAATTCAAAATCTAAATCTTTAGAGTTCGGCAAAGTACGGGAAAGTACAACAAAGTATGGGAGAGTAAAAAAATAGTTTTTTTTACTATTAAATCTAAAAAATAAAATTCTGAATTTTTGGAGTTCGGAAAATTACGGGAAAGTAAGGGAAGTGTTCCGGTTGTGGGCACCCTTTTGTTTTTGCCTCATAACATTTGTCCATGTGCATATTATACAAATATATGTGTACGAATTTAAAGCTAGAGGTCTAAGGTGACTGTCAGTGAAGGAATTAAATTGATTCCTTTAAATAAAAAAGTTTTATTAGAAATTTAGTGAAATGGGAATTTTTTGACAAAAAAAATTTTGTACCCGGTTGTGGGCACCCTTGAAAAATCCGCTAAAAATGGAAAAATATTAAAGGAAACCAACACAAATAAAGAAGAAATGAAAGTTTCTTTATTTTAAGAGAATTTGCTGGGATAAAGAACAAAAATGATGACACGTTTTCACACTATATGCTCATCGCTAACAAAAGCATAATGCTTGCATGTGAAGTAGCTAGTACGCATAACATAACGCACTTCGAATGCACTGAACGACTATATTCATCGCATTTAATGGAGTTTGCGGCTGTCACTTTCCTTGGCAGAAAGTTTAGATAGATGAGACAGTAGTCCTCATCATTGTCAGATGGTAGAGCCTCCTTAACATAAAGGTGCCCACAACCGGGAATGACAGTCATTTTTTAAAAAGACCAACACATTTTGTGATGCAGGATTTTGGTTAAACACGAAGGTAAATCACAAAATATAATGACAACACTGCAAAAAAAAATTAAACCCTTTTTTTCTGAACGAATCTACACCCATATGTTGCTCTTCGAAAACAATACAAAATTACTTTTTTATTTATTTAATGCAAATTTTCTTTATTATGCTCACAGCTATTACACAAATGCATATATTTGTTTCGTTATCAATACCAAAAGTCCGTATTGTCAACGAACACGACTTGCAATACTTAGATCAGTAAAGTCTGCTTGCCGTCGAAGTTTACGTAGGGGTGCCCACAACCGGCGCACTTCCCCTACAGCAAAGTATGGGAGAGTAAAAAATAGTTTTTTTTGAATAATTAAATTAGAAAAAAAATTCTGAATTTTTAAAGTTCAGCAAAGTACAGAAAAGTACAGCAAAGTATGGGAGATTTAAAAAATAGTTTTTTTAAAATATTAAATTAGAAATTAAATTATAATTTTTTGGAGTTCGGCAAAGTACAGAAAAGTACAGCAAAGTATGGGAGAGTAAAAAAATAGTTTTTTTGAAATATTAAATTAGAAATTAAATTCTAAATTTTTGGAGTTCGGCAAAGTACAGAAAAGTACAGCAAAGTATGGGAGAGTAAAAAAATAGCTTTTTTTACTATTAAATCAGAAAATTCAAAATCTAAATCTTTAGAGTTCGGCAAAGTACGGGAAAGTACAACAAAGTATGGGAGAGTAAAAAAATAGTTTTTTTTACTATTAAATCTAAAAAATAAAATTCTGAATTTTTGGAGTTCGGAAAATTACGGGAAAGTACAGCAAAGTATGGGAGAGTAAAAAATAGTTTTTTTTGAATAATTAAATTAGAAAAAAAATTCTGAATTTTTAAAGTTCAGCAAAGTACAGAAAAGTACAGCAAAGTATGGGAGATTTAAAAAATAGTTTTTTTAAAATATTAAATTAGAAATTAAATTATAATTTTTTGGAGTTCGGCAAAGTACAGAAAAGTACAGCAAAGTATGGGAGAGTAAAAAAATAGTTTTTTTGAAATATTAAATTAGAAATTAAATTCTAAATTTTTGGAGTTCGGCAAAGTACAGAAAAGTACAGCAAAGTATGGGAGAGTAAAAAATAGCTTTTTTTACTATTAAATCTGAAAATTGAAATTCTGAATTTTTGGAGTTCGGCAAAGTACGAAAAAGTACAGCAAAGTAAAAGTAAAAAAAAATATTTTTTACTTTCCCATACTTTGCTGTACTTTCCCGTACTTTGCCGAACTCTAAAGATTTAGATTTTGAATTTTCTGATTTAATATTTCCCAAAAAACTGGCCTCTAATACTTTGGTGTAGTTCTCTATTCGAAAATATTCCCGAAAATCCTATTTTCTTGATCCCGTACTTTGCCGAACTGTCCCTGTACTTTAAATATCGTTGTTAACCATGTACATCTCAAAGTATGGGAAACGCTCAATAGCCGTACTTTACTGTACTTTGCCCATACTATTCTGTACTTTGATGGACTTTGCTGGACTTTGCCCGTACTTTCATTTCCACGTCGAATTCGCAAACTAGTAAAAGATGAAAAATTTATCACAGTAATGAGTAAAAAAGAGAAAGCTGCATTTGGCTTAGTTTTAAGGGAGTTATTGAAAACTTTCTTGGCAACCATAAAAGCGAGAATTGGGAACTAATAGTGAATGTTATGATCAAAAACTTTCAAAAATTGGGATGCTTGATGGGTTTGAAGCTCCATTTCTTACATTCACATCTGAGTTACTTTCCAAAAAATTTAGGAGACTACAGCGAGGAATAGGGAGAACGGTTTCATCAAGATATGAATGATTTATAAGTAAACTTATAAAGAAAACTACTGCACAGGTCTTTCGAAGCCAAACGTTATCATAAACAGACATAAATAAAAATTACATTATTTTCAAACGGACATATTGATTTTTTAAAATCTAATTGAAGATTTGTTATCAGTGATCCGAAAAACCACTGAGTACCCATTTTAAAGCAAAATAAATCAATTTTCAAAAAAATGACCGCCATATTGGATCCGCCATATTGAATTTTTAACATCTGACTGCAAATCTGTAATCAGCGACCCCGAAAACCCCTATATACCAAGTAAAGTGAAAATCCACCAAATTTTTAAATTTTGGCCGCCATATTGGATCCGCCATTTTGAATTTTTAAAAACTGACTGCAGATTCGTAATCAGCGATCTTAAAAACCCCCAAGAAACAAGTTTGAGACAAATCTAATCAATTTTTAAAAAATTTTGTATTTTACATAAATTACATAAAATTTGACATGTTTTTTGAGGTTAGAAAAAAATCCTGACGTGATGGAGCAAATCTGACTTCGGATTCGTGTTTAGCGCATCAAAATACATAGGGGTATGGTACTGTGGGCTTTCGCGCAGGGTACTTTTCTTTTTTCGTGGGGCTGTGTTGGCGAACGTATCAATTCGTATATATTGCCGACATAGCGCGAATGTATAGGCAAATATTAATTGATGAACAAGACCTCGACTACCAACGTATCTTATGGCGTTCAAATGTAGACGATCCCATCAGTGAATATCAATTGCTTACAGTCACATACGGAACTCGCTCTGCTCCGTTCTTAGCACTGCGAGTTCTTAAGCAATTGATTGAAGATGAGGGTCATGCTTTTCCGCTAGCTTGTTTTGTACTTGAAAATAATATCTACATCGACGATTTTATGTTTGGATCGGATTCCTTACATTCTGCGCGTATAATTCGTGATGAGGTAATATTTTTGCTTCGAAAAGCGAAATTCGAACCAAGGAAATGGGCAAGCAACTGTTTTTCATTGATCTCAGATATAGATCCTCAAGATCATGGCCTAGCATGGACTGCTCAATCACCGGATGGTGAGGGAATCAAAGTTTTAGGGTTGGAATGGAATCCATCGACTGATGAGTTTCAATTCAAAGTTCAATCAATTTCTGTTGAAAAAATAACAAAACGGTCAATACTTTCGATTATATCTAAATTTTACGATCCTGTTGGGTGGATATCCCCTGTGATTATCGTAGGAAAAATTTTGATGCAAAAGCTTTGGAGACTTAATTGCTCATGGGATGACGAACTTCCGAAAGAATTAAATATAATTTGGTCCGAATTTGTTTTATCTTTACCAGATTTGAGTGGCGTTAAAGTGCCGCGTTGGATTCAACTTGCTCCCAATAACACTGACGTTCAAATGCATGGCTTTTCCGATGCTTCGGAATTAGCTTATGGTGCTGTTCTTTATTTGCGTATCACCACTTCATCAGGTGAAGTGATTGTAAATTTACTTGCTAGTAAAACCAAAGTTGCACCCATCAAGCAATTAAGTCTACCCCGTCTTGAACTCCAAGCAGCCGTATTGCTTGCTCAATTGATTGAAAGCGTTCGCGAAGCTAAATCTTTATTTTTTCATTCGATTCATTGTTGGACGGATTCCACAATTGTTCTTGCCTGGCTTAAAAAACATCCATCTGACTGGAAGACGTTTGTGGCAAACCGAATTTCTGAAATACAGACTTTGCTACCAGATTGTACATGGCGTCATATTTCTTCAAAAAATAACCCGGCTGATATTTCTTCACGCGGAGTAAGTCCAAGTGAATTAATAAATTCTAATCTTTGGTGGAATGGGCCAAAATTGTTAATTCAATCAGAAAATGAATGGCCAATTTCAAATTCGCACTCTGACCTTCAAACTGATCTTGAAGCTAAGATTCATATTCATCTTGTAAATGAGTCAAATTCTAAAATTTTAATAAATGAGCTAGCTTTGAGATATTCATCATGGACAAAATTACTTCGAGCAATTGTAATTCTAAAGCGTTTTGTAAAGTGGTTAAAACTACGTTATATTGATCACAACTCTGAATCAATAAAGTTTCCAATAATAGCGTCAGAACTAGAGTCGGCTCAAAAATTTTGGTATCGATATTTGCAATCAGTGCAGTTCGCGTCAGAAATCGATACTCTAAAAAAATCACTACCCATACCGAATAAAAGTAAATTGAAATCGTTGACACCTTTTATCGATCATGAGGGACTTTTACGTGTAGGAGGTCGATTAGAAATCGCAGAATTATCGTACGAAACAAAACATCCGATTATATTAGAACCTCATTACATTGTTAAATTAATAATAACCGAAATTCATAAGAAAAACTTCCATTGCGGACTACAATTTACATTAAATACACTTAGACAATCTATATGGTTAATACATCCCCGACCAATGATCAAATCTGTGATTCATCACTGCATTGTGTGTATTCGCGATCGAGCTAAAAGAGCAACACAATTAATGGCAAATTTACCGCAACATAGAGTTGTAAGACCCGAACGTGCTTTTTCCGATTGTGGTGTTGACTACGCGGGCCCTTTACAAGTTCGCATGGCCGGCGGTCGCGGCATTCGCAGTCAACCGTGCTACATTTGCGTATTCGTGTGTTGCGCTGTAAAGGCAGTACATTTAGAAATAGTAACATCTCTGACGACTGATGCCTTTATTTCCGCTTTTCAGAGATTCTGTTCTATTCGGGGCCTTCCCGGTAGACTTTATAGCGATTGTGGGACAAATTTTAAAGGAGCGAGTCAAGAACTTAATTCTGCATTTGAGAGGGCAATAAATTCAATCGAGTTTCAGAACTTAATCGCGAATGATCGTATACAATGGAATTTCAATCCACCCGCAGCTCCCCATTTTGGAGGGCTGTGGGAGGCTGCGGTTAAAAGTATGAAAATTCGCCTCGTCAAAATCTTTGGAAACCATACCCCTACCTACGAAGAATTAATAACATCAATTTATCAAATTTCTGCAATGTTAAATTCACGACCGTTGACCCCTGTTACAGACGATATTAATGATCTGAATGTATTAACTCCAGGCCATTTCCTCATTGGAGAATCTTTCTCTTCAATTCCAGCACCGTCACTTGTTGAGTTAAATTACAACAGATTATCACGTTGGCAACAAATGCAGCAATTAGCTGAAATATTTTGGAATCGTTGGTCCAATGATTATTTGCTGAATTTGCAACAACGCGTAAAATGGCAAAATTTAGAAGATTCAGTTATTAAAGGTCAAATGGTTTTACTTAGAAAACCCAATTTGCTTCCAACGAAATGGATTCTGGGGCGAATACAAAAAACACGAAAAAATTCTGATGGTTTAATTCGAACTGTTAATGTAAAAACAGCCACTTCTGAATATTGGCGACCAATTACCGAATTGGTACTCTTACCTTTTTATACTTCCGAAAACGAAAAGAACATCGAATCTAATTGCGAAAATTAGCTTTGTAAAATTTACGAATTACGAAAATCTACGTTTAAATGTTTTAATATGAATATTGTTAAATTTACGAAATATATGAATCATTGTTAATTTTAGGTATTTGAATCCGAGGAATTCAAGGCCGGCGGTCTTTTTGAGATTATAATTTATTTTAATTTGAATGAAACTCCCGCCAAATAGTTCGATAAAAAATTGTATAATGGCGGATGGCGCTGATGAGTGCGTGTGTGTGCATTTTTAAGATAGATAAAAAATGTCTCTCGACAAGTGAAAAACGTTCTCATAACGTTAAATTTAATTGTTAAACTGTAATTTTATACCAAACAATAATTATATTTTAAATACTAAAGTTGATTAAATTAAAGTGTGTTCAAAATATATCAGTTATTTGAAACTGTGATAATATCTATTTTCCCATCCTTTTTGTAACTCTAATGACGCATTTTGTGCATTGCGCGAATTCGAGTCCTGGAAATTCTCTATAAACAATTCATTCTTTAACACATTCCTGACAAGAAAACAAATCGATTGATGTATATACGAAGTATATATTTTATTAAAATTTATAAAATTAATAAATATTTTTCTTTTTCACAAAAAATTCAAATTTTTGAATTTTTGAATTTCAATTTCAAAATTTTGTACGTGAATTACCTCACGAATTTCTATTTATATATTGAGGAAGCTAAATGGTCATGAAATGAACAACTTGTTTAAAAATTTATTTGTTTAAGATTTGTAAAATTTGATTTATATGACATGTAATTTTCATTGGTTTTATTTTATTGAAATTTTTATTAAGTTTCATAAGTTCTTTTTGCAATGAATATTGAATTACATTTTCAATTAATCATTAATTGAAAGTAAGAAGAAGGAAATTGGGAAAAGGGTGGTTAAAAGATTATTTGTTTTTATTTGTTTTATGAAATTTTCTAAAAAGAAAGTATTTAGATATAATAAAAAAATAAAGAATTTATATCGCCTCTGAGATGTTTCTGAAACAAAGTAAAACTATATTAGATTCTATTCCATGATTTTACAATATAGTTTATAATAAGAATTATAATTAATTCAGCATATTCAATTAATAACAAAATGAAATCTATTTAATTAGGAATAAAATTGTATTTTTTAATTTTTAAATAAAGAAAGCCTAGTTTTATTAGAATCCATTATTATGTTTAATATGAGACATACGAAGTCTATTAATGTGAACGATTTTTGGTGTTTTATTTATTTTAATTTTAATATTTCCTTTTGATAAAATTTCTAAGACTTCATGAGGTCCTGTATATTGATTAGCCTAATATTGATTTACTAATTTTTTAGGTTCGGGACCTTGTAGTAAGAATACACTATCACCAATTTTAAAATTTTAGGGATTTAGCCTTTGATCATAGTAAGTTTTGGTTTTTTGTTTTGATATTATTAAATTTTTATGTGCTAATGCTTGAATTTCGTGTAATTTTGTCACTAAATTAATTAAGTAATTGTCATAGGTTTTGAGTTTTTCCTTCTCTAGGAGGGGTAAGCTGGATGGTAACCTTGCTAATCTTCCGAAGACAAGTTCATAAGGAGTGAATTTTGTTTCTTCATGAACACTGGTGTTGTAGAACATTGCTAGTTCTAGCAAGTCGTCCCATTGTGAATTTTTATTAACAAATTGTTTTAAATATTCTGCAAGAACGTGATAAGATCTTTTTAGTGAACCATTCGACTGAGGATGGAAAAAAGTTATTTTAAATTGTCTGATTCTAAATCGTTTAGCGAGTCGTTTCATGAGATTACTTAAGAAATTTGTTCTCTGGTCTGTTAGTACACCTTTTGGAGATCCATAAATACATATAAATCTTTTAACAAATGCATCTGCATATAAATACTTGCTTGCTGATTTGGTAATGGTATTGCTACTTAGAATTTAGTAAGACAATCTTGAATGGTTAAAATACATTCGTTTCCTGCATTAGTAGTTGCTAAAGGTCCAACAATGTCCATTGAAATTTTTTCAAAAGCTGTTCCTGGGGTATCAGTAATGATCATAGGGTTTTTAGTTTTTACACGAACTAATTTTTTCAATTGACACTGTAGATAAACTTGTATGTACTTTTGAAAATCAAGTTTCATATTTTTCTAAAAGAATTTCTGCCTAATTCTACTATACGTTTTTGTGACTCCTTTATGGCCACCTATAGCAGAGGAATGTGCTTTTTCAATTAGTATTTCTCTTTGATCTTTTGTTGCATATTGAATATAACCTTTACAAATAATTATTTTTGTTCTAGAACCTTCGAAAATTTTCTTCAAAATTAATTCGATATCTTGCCAATTGACATGATTTATGTTAGCTGTTTTCGCGATACTAACTGATTTTAATTGTAGATTTTCAGCTAAATTCCTAAATGATTGAATTGTCTTCTTGATGTTATATGTTATTTGGGAAATGTTTTCATTTGGTTCTGAGGCAATGGGTAATGCAATATGCAAAAAATTTCCTTTTTTAAATTCTTTAGCTTCATTTATTACAAGATTATTAAATTGAGGAAGATCATTTTTGCTATTTAAACTTCGAGAACCATTATCCATGGGTATACAAGAGGTTGTTAAGAAATATGCATAATTGTCTTTTCGCATTCTTAATTGATCTTTACATTCTACCACATTATTGCTGTGAAATTGATTTATTGAGTCATCTGTTTTGCTTTCTTGTTGGATATCTAGAGAGAAATTGGGAGGGATTTCAGGAGGGGGCTCTGGAGGGGGACGTTGATTGCTGTCAAAAGCTTCATTTTGAAGATGTGGAAAATAGGATTCTTCTATATCATCTGAATCACTTTCATAAATTTCTTCAAATTTTTTATTTTCTTTATTTCCTTCAAATTTTTCAGTTCTTTCTATTATATTTTTATCTGAGGATTCTTGAAAATTGTCGTCACTAAAATCAGCTTGTCTTTCAACAAAAGGTTGATATTTATTATTATACACTGGATATGAGTCTTCTTCTGATTCTTCTTGCAAAGGAATTTGTTTTGTAGGTCTACCTCTTTTTTTTAGTTGGTGAGTCTTGATCATTTTTTAAATCAATTTTGCGCGGTCTTCCTCTTTTCTTTTTTAATTTTTGAATGTTGACGTCTTCATTGTAGTTTATATTTTGCAATTTTTCGCGATTACGCAGATTTCGAACATTTTCTTGAATTTGAGTAGGATTTTGAAACCTTTCCTGATGGTGAGTGGTTTTTGCAGAATTTCTTACACTTTTTACACTTGTTTGCATTATTAATTTGTTCGTACCTTTGTTGAGTTGATTTTTCCGACTTTGTGGTCTTACTTCAGATTGGTTCACTGGTTTCATTTTTTCTTTGGAATTAAAATTCGTGTTTTCTTCTTGATTTATTTTCTTTAATTTTCCTCTAGTAGTAACAGCATTGAATTTTTGACTTTCCATTGGGAGTTTTATTTTATTGATAATTTCAAAAAATTCCTTATCACAAATCACTAGTTTCATAAATAGGAAATTTTTTATAAAAATTTACAGAGATTTTTAATGCCTTTAATTTTTGTTGTATCAGTTATCACGTTTGTTATTTTTCAATAAGGCATGCTTCTTCAGCTGCAGACACGGTGTTGACGTTTATTGTCTCATTTGGTTCTTTTTCAATTTCATCATAATTAATATCTTCATCACAAATTAAATTGTTATCACTTTTTATGCCATTATAGTTACCTGTATTGCCATCATCATCATCATTATCATAGTCATCATCATTGTCATCTTCGTTGTTTTCTGTTTCGTCATCATTTTCTTCTTCTTCTTTATCTTCTTTATCTTCATCAACTTCTTCCTTTTCTTCTTCGTATCTTGGAATTATTCTTCGGAAATGATTTACTGGATTACGTGATAATGCATCTGCATTAACGTTCATTTTACCTGCTTTATACATCATTTCGAAATCATATTCCGATAGTTTGAGTTTCCATCTTGTAACTCGAGAGCAAGGATCAAAGGGACTGATTTTTCGGAAAAATTTTCTATAAAACGGCGATAATAACCTGCTAAACCCAAAAATTGTTTGATGTTTTTAACGTTTTTGGGTGTTGGAGAATTTTTTACCACAATAATTTTCTTTGGATCTGGTCTGACTCCGTCTTTATCGATTATGTGTCCTAAGTAGACTACCACTGGCCTAAAAAATTCACATTTGTCCGGTTGTAATTTTAAATTGGCTGTTTCTAGTCAGTTCATAAAATTTTCAAATTTTTCCTGATGTTCTTCTAAAGAATTTGCAAAAATAACTACATCGTCAAGATAAACAAATAATTCAGTTCCAATAAGTCCAGATAAACATGAATTCATCAACCTTTGAAAACAACTTGGCGCATTTTTTAATCCGAATGGCATTCGATCGAATTCGTAATGACCATAAGAGGTTGGAAATGCAGTTTTATGAGAGTCTATTGGGCTCATTTTTATTTGATGGAATCTGGAGGCTAAATCGAAAACCGAGAAATATTGTGCGTTTCTGAGAGTTTCCAATACTTCATTTATATTCGGTAAAGGGAAAAAATCTGTAATAGTTTTTTCATTTAATTTGCGAAAATCAAGCACCATTCGCCATTTCTTATTTCCCTGTGAGTCGTTTTTCTTTGGTACAATCCAAACCGGAGTATTATAAGGGGATTGAGATGGTTTAATAATGTTACACAGCCACAAAAAAAAAAATAAAATGTCTTGATCTGGGGTCGAGACATATGTATTCCGATGTATTTCGATGAGCTTAATCTGAATCTGCCATCAGAATTTGGCCAATGGGTCCTTGTTTCGCCCTAACCTCAAAAAATACGCTAAAATCGTTAAAATGGTCACTTTTGATTTATCAAAATTGAATCTAACCGCATATTGATAATTTTCTCAGATCCCTTAATTTAAAAAACTATTCTATAAGCTTTTCAATTGAAAATTCATATAAAACATTAAATATATCGAACCTAACCTCAAAAACACA